AAACATGATAACCTAGTGGATAATTGCCTTTATAACATAACAGTTATACAAATATATATATAATGAATTATATAAGTTTTTCTTTCTTCTTTTCATCCAACATATATATATACTATATATATATATATATATATATATATATATATATATATTATATATATATATAGTAATATGTATATATATGGGATTTATTATATCTTTGTCCAATAACATATTCTTTTTTTCATTTAGTATAGGATTATTGTCTAAATGTACCAATAAAGGTGCAACAATTTTTATTTTCTTTTATATAACCTTTTTCATTTAACGTGCACGGGTATGTTGCTTCCCCAGCCAGTACCATACGGGAATGAACTTCTATAAATTGGCATGCATGTACCTTTTCCCTCTTTTATTACTTTTATTTTTATATAAATCATTACTCGTATATGCATTATGCCATAACATTAGTCATATAATAATTATCAATGTTGTTGCATGTTTAACAATTAAATATATCATCCATATAATGATAATTCCGTATAATTATAACTTACATTTAAATTTTCTTTATTATTTTATTAATTCGTGTAATTGCAATAATTACAAGGAATTGTAATTACATAAAGAAAAGAATTCAAAATTGTCATAAAATAATTATGCTATATTTACCAAAGCCCTACATAGGGTCCGATTTGGGTACCCATGCTTTACTCAGATGGGCTTCTCCCACCCATGGTGACTTTTGGGATGTCGTACCCACCTTTACCCACCCACCTTGCATGCTTTTGGAACGCAATCTGCCACAGACTGATGGCCTTGAGGCTTGTTGCCATTTGCTCTGATTGCAAACTTTCAAGCCGCATATCAGAATTTACCGTAGCCGCAGCGTGGTTAAGTGTTGCACACTATGTAGTGAGGATTACAGTAATATAAGATATATAGTGATTAACAATGTAAATTGATTTATCCATTGATGTTGAGTACCCACCCACAAGGTCATGGGCGTACCCATACCCATTGGGTACCACCGTACATGGGTTGGTGTGGGTATGGATACCCAATACAGGGCTCTGATATTTATCCGGTTTTATAATTTGGGCTTCAATTCCTTTCAAATCTTTGACCCTTAAAATAATCTTCCTTATCACAACCTAAATTCACATACAATCACATAAATTATTACTATATTTAACTTTTAATTTTACATAAACATTTCTTTAATGAATTCTTACCTCAAATCCCTTGAGAAATCCTTTATTGGCTGCAGCACTTCGCATTCGCACACTAGATTAATCAAATCCTTTTATGTTCCAATTTATATTAATTGACATTAACATTACTAAATAATTTTGAAGGGATTCTCAAAGCTTAAAAGAAATAATAATAAATGTCAAGTTTCTAACTTACATCTTTTACCTCAAGGAATATTTCCTTCTTGCCGAATCGAACTTCCACCAAATTTTGATTTCTTCTTTTTTAAAATCATACACTATTAATTGTCATAAAAATAAATTCTATTCTTAAAAATTTTGAACATAAAATATATGATTAAAATCTCTTACGAAGGAGAATTTTTCCAATACAAAACCCTTCTTCTTTCTCTTCTGAATTTCTTTCTTTTTTTTTTCTCAATTCCTTCTGCCTTTCTTTAAGATAATTTATCCTTTCACAGGATTAAATCACAGAAGAAATGTGCAGAAAATGAATAAAATTAGAAAACCTACCTCTTCCTTCTTCCTCTCGGCACAGAGATTCTCCTGTGATTCTCTTCTACAGTAATGAGTGAAATAGAGATGTCTCGTGTGAGGAGTCGTTCTTTTTCACTCCCTCACTCGCTTATCTACTGAAAATAGCGATTCGATCTGTCCAGGAGGTGTATACGAGCATGCGGTGACCACTCGGTCGAGCCCTGTTCAGTTCTGCTCATGGAAGACCTGCTCATGCAAGTGTTTCTAATTAAGGCTGGCCAAACTGGCTTTTACATAAGGATAATTTTGAATGAGCAAATACTTATGGAATTTTGAACCAATTGTCAATCACCTTAGCTTTCATTATTCCATTGAAGTATGATAATTCTAGGCTACCAAGTTGAGAGGAAGGGGAATCATGATCAAATCTTGAGAAGGGAACAATCAATTTTATCATCTATCCCAAAATTTTGTTTATAAGATGGAGCTATCCTCATATCATTGATGCTATTAATCAAATAAAGAATTCCTTTTATTATTGATGCAAATAATAATAAGAACTAATTACGAATAGAAGATGGTATGAGTTTTTTTTTTTTTTTTTTTTAAATGTTTAGAGATGTTTCCTTGAGGATGCTATTTTTGTGTTAGATAATTAATAGGAAAAAAATAGAGAATACATAAAGAATATTCATATAATTTTTATTTAACACGAGAAAGTATATGATTAAGTACATGAGAATTAAATTGTGATTCATCAATAACATTAAGCCTTTATCCAACTAAGTGGGATCATCTATATGAATTTTTTTATCCATTGTGTTCTATTAAGAGTCAAATCCTCATTTAAATCTAATAAGAAAATATAATTTCTAATACTTTCTAACCAAGTCTTTTTAGGATTATATCTATCTTTCTTAACATAGGTCAAATCTAATACATCTAATCTCCTAACCGGTTCATCGGAAGGCCAACATTTTATGTGACCAAACCATCTAAGGAGACTCTCTAATTTTCTCTGCCATTTGAGCTACTACAACCTTTTCTCATATGCACTCGTTTCATATTTGTCTATGAGCATTCTCATCTATGCAACACTTAACTTAATTTTATGCTTCTCTTTTAATGGCTTGTTTAAGTAAATTTTGATGGCTTGCTTCTGAGCTTGGGCGATTATGCATGGATAACCCTCTAAAACAGTGTATTATGTATACTTCATCATGTTACCGGCAAGTTAATGATGATCCTAGCGAGTTTAGGATGAACCTGCATGTTCACCATATATCTATCATTGTTACGACTCAAACTAAGTTGTCTTGAGTGGCGCAGTCTTTCCTGGAATCGAGTCCTTGTGATATTTGGATGTACAACTCTAGTTTGAGAGTACTTAAAGTCAAGCTTGACTTGTAATTTTTCGACTTTTAATATAACTTAGGGGAAAAAAATTGTTTTGGTTCCAAGTTTGTGTGAGCTAGTTTCAGTCTAGTCGTAGAATTCAAATAGTATAGAAATCAGGAGGGAGGTAAAGGAGACAGATATAAGTTATTGCAGATTTTTGGAGTACAGCAAATAAGTTTCAATCTGACAAAAGAAGCTCAATTTGGCTTGCAAAAAATCCAAGCGCTTATTCAGCATTTAAAGCAGCATGGCGCATCATCAAATTTGCCTTGGGTATTCGGCTTAAAATCAATCATTCCTCGAAGCATGGACATCCAAATATGAGTGCAGCTTATAAGAAACTTTCAATGGGTCGGCCCTAACTTGTTTTTCTCGAGTTAATATATAATCAAGTTGAGATCGGGTCTGGGGCCTAGCGGTCGACGGAAGAAATTCCTTTCATCTCATCCGAGCTCGAATCCCCCAATTATGATGTTTTGGAAGAATTTTATGTTGCAAGCTTGCTGACCTGAAAGTTGCCTTTGATATTATTCTATTCTAAATGCTGGTAGCACCACTATAGGCAAGCTATATAATGTTAACTTGTTTAATCATGCAAACCGTCATAATGTCAAATATTTTGCAAAATTTTTAGGTATATTCTTTTTGTGTTATGTGTGGTAAGAGGAGATTAAGAATAAATTTGCTAGCATAAAAAATTCTTGAATTTAAATATTTTTTTATTAAAAAATATTTTAAAAAGCAATAAAAAAACTATTTCAAGTTCAAATGAAGCCTATATGATTAAGAATAAAATGTGCTTAAATGTCTAGATATTTTTATATTCAAATGCATATGCTTAAGATCATTAATTTTCAATTGCATGATATAATTATGATATCAAACTCTAATGGTAGATTTGGTGGATTGGATTATTAGTTTGATTAAATTGATTGAACCAATAATCTCATGACCTAATAACGAGCCATATATTTCTGATACAACTTGAAATTGGCTCAATAATGTTCAAGCTTTGTTACATTTAAATCTGATTCAAAATAAGCTTGTCTTGTTTTCTTTAATTTGACTAAAAACTTGTTCAATTTTAAAAGTCTGATCTTTTAACCAAATTTACAACTTTCAAACCAGCCTCAATTTAAGCTTAAACTCGATAAATAACACTCAGGTTCTGATCGATCTATAGGTAAACTAATTCTTTTTATAGAGTCAACAGCACATGCAAATATAAGAGTCGAAGCAGTAAAATTAAAAAAAGGATTTGACATCAAGTAATAGGATTTAAGATATTTTCTAAAAATTTGTATTAAAAGAATTTCAAATATTAAAAAATTATATACATAACTAAAATTTGGTCCTGAATAAGCCAAGTCTACAATAAGATATGCTATTTTACGCTACTCACCTTAATATATTAATTGAGAGCATTGACTATTAATTAAACGGTGCATGATGTATATAAAAGTTTATCTTAATTGGCTTAAATGTCTCAAAAATAAAGTTGGATTTGGAGCGTATTCATCTAAATTTTATCAAAGAGAGAAAATTAACACAATTGAAATTCAAGTCTACAGAATCAAAATGATTTTGAAAAAAAAAACACTTACAATAGATTGATCTAATGAATTATGTCGCCTGCACCTCCCAATTATCATGATAACAGGAAAGGATTCAAACTGAATTAGAAACTCTTAAAGTTTAAAGTTCATTAGACAAATCCAAGCTGAAGATTATTAGAGAAAATTTGATCTTGTTGTCTGTCTTTTAGCCTGTAACCTCAGCTGTTGTTGACCATGGCAGAAAAAAGCATCTGATTTATATCCTCATCAATATCCTTCTCATCACCTGAAAAAATCTGTCAGGATCATAACGCCAAACATCAATATTTCTACAATCAATAAGGAACGTAGTGTTATTACCTGTCCTTGTTTTTAGTTGAAGCTTCCACTCATCAATGATCTGCAAACGATTAGTTATTAATGATATGAATGAAGTTATACTCCTTAAATAAATATACATTAAAAAAAATTATTCTTGTGAACTATATGAGTATATATATGCAAAACTTTCTGAATTTATTCATAAAAATAGATACCTTCTGAGGTAGTAGCCAAGTGGGAGCTAAGAAAGCTACCTGGAGTTCCTGAGGCTGACTAAGGTTTTTTTTTTTTTTTTGGACATTTAGGCGAATGAAGGCAAACTCACACATGCATCGCATACATAAAGACTCGAACCCAATGCCTCTTAGTTGGTAGCCTAAGCTCTCAAACAACAAGCCAAGGTGGGCTGACTAAGGTTGACAATTAACAGTTTGAAGGATTTCTAAGCTGATAAACCAGGTTGCCATTTTCATGGTTACAGGGTATGCTTTAGGCTTCATTTGGGACGACTTTTTTATTGCTTCTAAAAACAGATTTCTAGTTTAAAAATTAAAATTTTTATACTATAAATATGCTTTAAGAATCAATAAGAAAGTCATCCCAAACGAAGCCTTAGTCTGGCTTATCAAACAATAGCTTATGCTATTAAAATATTAGTTTGCATAGAAAACACAGAAAGGAAACCATTCTTCTATTTAGAAACTTAGTAAAAGTAAATTTTCTTTCAAAAAATCAGGAGACAGCAAAAAGCATTTACATAAAGACCACCATACAGTATATTAAACATAGCTTTTTGCTAAAAAACTAGTTTTCACAATTGAAAGCTACAATTTAACTTTTAATCAATTTAAGTAGTACAGATTTCTGCATATTGTGAAGTTTGATAGAGACGACAACAAACTTTCTTTGAGAGGCATCTCAATATAAAAGAAGAAAAGAAATGCAAAACGAAGGTACAACAGAATGGCCAGAAAATAGTTCTACATAGAAATTAACGGAGCTTATTATAAAAATTGGATGCACAATGATATATTAGTAAGACTAGTACCTGATTTAGATTTGTATATGCAATATCATCGGAATCATTTTTAGGTGGAAGACCAGATGATGCCAGCAACCGGTTCAAGGAGTTCCTCTGTGCGGACAGAGAAACCCTTACTTGGTCCATAAGATCCTGAGGATTCAGAAACATATTTAGTTCCACGGCTGAAGGTGCATGTAAAAATGAAGTCTCCTGATTCAAAGGATAGTAAGAAGAAGCTAAAGACAGAACTGGGCGTGACAATGTGAAAAGGATTCAGTTAGTGAGTGCAAACAGTCCAACACTCCCTAATTTTGGCTGATAATTTAAGCGCGCGTGAAAATTTACAAATAAGAAGAATTAAATAGTTAGCACTAAATTTAAGGAATCGAGTAACAATTGTGATGCAAAACTTATAGAAAGAATTTGAGCTAAGCACCAATGAAAAGATAAGTATGCATGGATTAATGAAGATGGTAAAAAACAAGAATAGAATGAGAGCCGAGTGGAATGAATTTATTAAGGCCAATCTGCCAAGTCATGAGTTATTATTGGGTAGTAGTTGCAGGGGATGCACACCAATCACCGCATGACGACTGAGAAATTATTCTTTGCAGACGCCGAATGCCATCCAAAGACCAACCAAAATGCGTCACGTCACCCCCGTTATGCACCGCGGTTCGATATCGCGCTCGGTACTGCTGATGTGATGCATTTTGATTGGTTTCCGGACGGTGAACTGTGTTAGTTCACCGTCCGCGCAGAATAATTTCCCCTGCACGGCCACTATTACTCCACTTCCTCTCTTTTTTTCACAAACTTCTATTTAAGTATTGTAACTTTTTTTTACTATTATACTTCTCTTTTTTTCACCTATGCCGATATGAGCTGGGAGGAATTAAAATAATGTTGGGGCTGGTTATTTTCTAACTAGCTGAATATACAAACTATTGATACTCTGTTTTTCTTACACTTCAATATAAGTGTTTATTGCTCTTGTGCCACAGCTTGTGTGTGATCAGATACTATGTCATAACGGTATTAGAGCCAAGATTGGGTGCAATGTTGGACAACAACAAACAAATAGCAACTGACGGCAGCATTTGAGATAAGTTGAACATAAACTCCATCTGATTTTTATCCAAGGTGTCAACTTCACATATAAAGCTAGCGTCCAGCGTTCTAGGAGGCAGAAGCTCTCATGGTAATACCTATCAGCAATCCTAGAGTGAGCAGAGTAACGAGTCTAAATGCATTTCCCACGCTCCAAAGAACCACTCCCTTCAATCCCAAACTGCAAGCAAGTCAGTGACCTTCCCACACCAAAGCCATTAACAAGACAATGACACCCAAATATGACAATCCTTACATCAAACCAACACAAAGCCAATGAATGTCCAAAATGAATGCAAGTCCAAATTGCTGAATGCGAGGTCAATGACATTTATGTGAATGAACTATTTTGTGTGGGGAGGAGATTGAGGAGCTACAAGGAGATGAAGGTGATGCTTTGGCCTAAATTTTGGAAAAAAATTATGTTAGTTCCTAAAAAATCAATGGCAACATAGCGTCATGCAATTTTTTAAACTCGGTGCACCGTCAACGACAAGGTCTGTGAACTTCTAATTGGCAACATATGTTTAGCCTTGAAATTACACACAAGTTAGCATCCGCAATCATATAAGATCAGTTTGGGTTTGTAACGGAATTGGGATCTTGGTATAAAAAAATGTGTCGAGAGACCTTTTATATTGAAAAGAACTTCATTTGTGATGTCCTACCCAAAATACTAGGTATGGATGCGTGCCACATTATTCTTGATCGACTATGGAAACTCAATATAAGGGTCATATACGGCTACCAAGCCTACTCTTATTCTTTCAACTGTAAGGGCGCAAGATTCATTTGTTTGCCATGTCAACCGCAACATCCCTTCCAACTACATGTGATGCATTTGCTCTCACAAAAGTATCAAAGTCACAAATTTTAGTGGCATACAGGTAGTCCACTGTTATGTTCACTCTAGTAATCCTTGAAACACATGACCAAACTCCTAAACAACCTGCGCCAGAATGCAACTTCACTTGAGCAATTGGTCGAGTTAAGGCCAATCAAGCTACCATCCGAGCTTCCTCCATTGCAAAATATCCAGCATCAAGTTGATTTCACTCATAGAGCAAAATTGTCTTACCTTCCATGTTACAATATGAATCCTAAGGGTCATCGCATACTTCAGAGCATTGTTAACATATGCTAAACAAAAACTTGATACAACATAGCTTTAGTCTATGCCTCATTTAGGTGTTGCTCATAACCAAGAAATATAGTATCTAACACATTTCTATGGATAGTCGTATAATTAATAAAATTACAATCAAATTTTGCTTTCCCATGCCATGACTCAAAGACATGCCCGATAAATTGGACAATGCCTCAATACTTTCACAATTGAATTTATGAAGCAATTATCAACAAATATATATACGGCTAAGAGATGTGTGGAAGGCAACATTTAAAATGCATGAAGGGCTTTATGAATGGAAAGTTATACTCAGTTGGGTCATGCAATGCTCCTATTATATTTATGAGGCTTGTGAATGAGGTATTCAAATTGTTCCTTGATTCTTTTTGAGCTGTATATTTCGACGATATCTTGATTTTTAATGCCTCTTTAGATGACCACATCAAATACCTGAATACCAATTTTTTGCCTCTCCATTAGCATCATCTATTTCTCAATCAACCCAAATGTGAATTCACCACCACCAGTATACATTTTCTGGGTTCATAATTAGTGCCATGGGAGTCCAAGTTGATCCCAGGATGGTCATCGCAATTAAACATTGGACAATCCTACAGTTTATCATCCAAATTTGGAGCTTCCAAGGGTTAGCAAACTTCTACCATTAGTTCATTAGAGGGTTAGTATTAAAGCAAAAACAGTTCAATCGGTGTGACAAAAAGCAACAATATTTTGAACCTAGACTTTTCCTCAGTGTTTGGTTTTTCTGGACTTTAATAAACCCCTTCAAGTGAAAATTCATGCATCAATGATTGGTATTAGGGATGTTTATCGCAAGTGAGACTGCCCATTGAGTTCTTCAATGAAAAAGTTAGCGCACCACATCAAAAGTGGATTGGATATGAACAAAAATTATGTGTCATTGTCCACGCGCTCAAACAGTGAGAGCCAATCTATTGCATCAAGACTGTGCTGTGCTATCCAGTGATCACCAAGCATTGCAGTTTCTAAACTCCGAAGAGAATATCAACTAGGTGTATGCAAGATGGATCATGTTCCTACAAAAATTGAGGAAGATCAGAGCAATCAATCATAAGCACAGATGCTAACAAACTGAAAAATGTATCTGTAAATGTATAGTTTATCTTTTATGTAATCTGATTTGACTGATTGTAATTGACCTACAAGGAAATGAAACTGGCTAAGTTGAGTTGATTAACTGAATAGTAAACCAACACTTGACAGTATTGCATGAAAATTGAAGATTTCTCGTCCAATAACAACGCAATTGGAAACTCATACTAGCATTCTTGTCAGACGACTTAAGTTATCTGAAAACACACCCATCTATATATAATAGCAACAGCAAACTGGAAATGTATAATAAAAAACCCTTTCCTAAAATCCCAGTAAACCATATAAGAAATTGAATCATTTACCAGCAACGGAGAAACTTTCAGTGATGTAAAAAACTTTAACAAATGTAATTCCCTCTCACTCACTTTGTCGGCAGATAAAGAAAGATATCTAGAAAGGTAAACCTACCTGCTTCTCCTTAAGCAACTCTTGACACAGATCTTTCAGCGAGACCAGCTCTTCCTGAATCTTTTTCATCCTAGAAATCATCTTGCACGGATTTGCCTGAAAGGAGAAAGCATATGGAGATTATACCCAGATCAAACACAACACATTTCTTAAAATTTCCTAGTGCTCGGAAACCCTAGAATCTCTAGCTCGGGTACAAACAATCAATATAAGTACCCCCAAAAAAATTTTGCAAATTACAGATGTCCGAGATTCTAAAGGGAGGAAAGCCGAGGGAGAAAGCGTGTGATACGTGTTCAGGGTAGGTCGCCTGGAACTCGCGCTCGATGTGGAGTTGGACGAGGGAAAGGTTGTGGTTTGCCTTGCTTAAAACTGTCACCAACCCGTCCACCGCTGGGTGGTATGGCCGGTGATCCTCCGTCGACATATAAGCCGCCGACCGGTGGCGCCGCTGTTCATCCATGTTTCTCTCCCTTCTTCTCCCTGCTCTTCTGCCATCTTCCTACTTTCCCGCCCTTTGCCTCTATATAATTTAGATTTTGGATATTTGGGTAAATAGAAGCTAATCTACAAAAACTTAGGTGAATTGTTGACCAAATTATTTTTTAAAAAACGCAAAATTTAAATTTTTGAACAGATAAAAAAATTAAAATTCTAATAACTTAAAATAAGATTTTATTTAATTTGTAATTTTGAATTTAATTTTTTAAGTGAAAGAATTTATGTATGATGTCTCAAATTTTTCATTTAATCAGCATTAATTTTGATGTAATATTTGTATTAAAATTTTTTAAATTAAATTTAGAATATTTTAAACTCCATATAATTAGTATAGGCGTCTTGTAAAAATGAACCTAACGACACTTTAAAATAAGCACAAATCAGACACTTGCAAGAAAAGTTGAAAATTTCAGAGCATTAATTGAAAGATTAGTTGATCTCCAATGTTTGCATGCTTATAGTAAAATCTAGCGGCTACACAAGATGAATCCAACAGATCTAAGATCAATTGAATATGAGGTTATTAAGATACTTAAATGTTTAATATATAATTTATGATCAAATTATTTAATATGAGATGTTAAATGGAATATTATCAATTTATCAAAATATCACTCCTAAAATATTATAAATAACTCACAATTTCCATATGAAAGTAATTTGGATTTGAGTTCAGAGAGAGCTTTGATACTTGAAAAACTCTAGTGATCTCTACCTGGCCTTGACATTGATGTCATCGCCAACCATTATCCTTGCTTGATTGTTTTTATCCGGCTGCCATCAGTTGACCAATATCATTTGATCATCATTATTTGACCACAAACACCAAACAATCATAATCTATTCACAGTTAGGGGTGTCAAAAATTGGTTGCAGGTCGGGCTCGGGTCGAAGTCGACAGTGACCTGCTACTGTTCGACATGACCCAAACCTGACCCATTTTCGCAAACAGCTCAGATTTTACAACATGGACCCGACCTACCAAAAAGCATGGTCAACCCAACCAAACACGAATGACTCGAGACCAGCAAAAAAATTATTGTCAAACACGCAGGTTGGTTCTATTTTTGGATTAAAAAAAGGGTCAACATTGGATTTTCGGGTCAAAACGGGTCATTCTAGGGTTTTCATGTCAAAAATAAGTCAAAATGGGTCAATATTGGGTTTTCGAGTCAACCCAAACTCGACCCAATTTTTGAAATGGTCCAATTTGTTGAACCCGAACTAACCTATTTCATTTACAGGTTGACCATAACCTGGAATTTTCGAGTCAAGTTTAGTTCAGATTTTTGAATCATGTCAAATATTAACACTCCTATTCACAATCGTCTAATAACTATTATTTAACTACTGTAATATAACCATCATTATCCAATTGTCAAATATTAACACCCCTATTCACAAATCGGGTGATCACCATCATTCCATCATGAACAAGTGACAAACAATATCCAATTGCTGCATCTCAAAGTATTATACCTTACACTCATGGAAATATAGATTTATACTATATACTTTATAATCCAGCTTTCTTCTATTAAGGGGAAGAGTGAACTATTATAACTATTTATATAGTTTATTATTCTTCTCGTTCAAATCTCATGATTTTTTCATGCACAGAGCTATGTAAATTTTCATGCACAGAGCTATGTAATGCATAATGCATATTCATCTTTCAAAAAAAAAAAGTTTTGAGTTTTCAACCTCTAACCTATAAGGCCTATAAGCTATATCCCCTTTCAAGCTTCTGTGAAATTGAATAATATTGAAGTTAAATATTAATTTAAGCTAAGATTTCATTTGGGACAGTTTTTTATTGTTTTCTAAAACAGCTTTCTATTACAAAAATTACTAGTTCAAAAAAATTATACTAAAAATTAAATTGCTTTTGAAAGTAGTAAGAAAATTGTCCCAAACGAAACCTAAATCAAATAAATTGCAAATCATAATTTGTGTTTCTTAACTCCCATCTAAAAATAAACAGAGATGCCCCATGCCTGATTAATCAAGATTAGAATGAATTAGACTCTATTGGCTCTGATGAATGCTGATCACAGATGACATTTGTACTGTACGACTTCAATTTGATCATTTGAAAATGTAATTCAAATTCAATTACATTGTTTCTCATTTCAAAAGAAAAGTTGTGATTTTTTCGCTTCCAGAGATTGTCTTCATTCCCCTCTTCTGATCCTCTTTGTTCATCTTCATCCTTTATTTATTTATTTTCTTAATCATAAAGAGATTATATATGTTCAGCTTTTTGCAGATTAAGCTGCTTATTAATGAAATGGTCTGCTTAATGTAAAACTCAAAAGATGAACTGTAATTTAGAGTTCTGTAGTTGGAGAAGATGATCGTTTAATATTAAACCTCCTATTGTAATTATTCTTAACATTACCTGGAACAATAAAACTCCATTAATTAATATATATTGTTAAGCAAATAAGAAGTCAATGTTGTAAGAGTTAGGGAAGAAACGGTACACTTGTTAGAGAAAGTTTGATTGCAAAGTTATTCTGACACTCCATCAACCTTCACTAACAACGAGAGAGAAAACGCCAATGTTTTCAAATCCTTACAAAATGTTTCAGTTATTAACCATCTTGATTGTCGTCGTTCAAATTTAGAAGAAAGCTGACAAAACCTGAAAGTTTTCACATAAACTACTGTGCAATGGATTACACTTTTGAGCAAATTTTAGCTCATAATCTCCTTCAATTCCAGATACACAATGCCACATTCTTGATCATATATCAGCCCTCATAGGAAAGCAGGAGGCTAGCCCAAAGGCATTTAGTTCCCCAAACAAGGTACCATCTCCCTCTACAAAGCCTCCATTATCATGGCACTCAAAGTATGTCTGTATGTCATCTGGAAAGCTACATCGCGGCGACGGCTTGCCGGAGAGCTCAGGCGACGCCGACGACATGTCGAACATGACCGTCGTCCTCTCCAACATCTCCTTAAACTTGGATGATTGAAGCAGTAATCCAAGAGCAGATGTGTTTGTGGTAGTAGCAGCAGCATTAGCATTAGTAGCAGCTGCAGCTGCAGCTGCAGTAGTAGTATTGGTAAGTGCTCCTGATTCTATATGGTGGAAAGATTGAATGCGGCCATAGATTTGTTGTGGGAAAGATGGTAATGGCGATGGTTGATGATAAAGGGTTAGCTGGGCATCTTGGCTTGATCTGACCGGCGATGATTGGTTCATGAGTTGCAGGGTTGGGGTGGTGGTGGTGGCGGCGGCGGCGACTTTGCTGCTTTCAGAGTTCGGACGAAGCCACTTGATGTAATGGCTAAGATCAAAGTTGGTGACTGCGTTAAGACCACGATATTCAATTGCTGCTATGTCATATGCAGTTGCAGCCTCCTCTTGTGTAGCTGAAAAAATAATATTTTGGAATGTATGTGACCATAAGAAAGACTCGAATCGAAGATATTTAGGTTGGGTAGTCAAAGCTCCCAACATACAGATCAAGATCAAAATGAGAAGCTGATCAAAGCTTCAAACCAACAGATCAAAATGAGCTGACAGAAGCTCACAACCAATAGACCAAAATGAGAAACTTGAAATTTACCGTATGTTCCGAGATACAAATATTTGTTGCCAAGTACACGACCAATTCTTGCTTCCCATCTTCCATTATGATGATGCCTGCAATTAATTTTCATTCATAAGAAAATATAAATTCATTTTATAGAAATAATAATAATATATATATTTCTTCTTGATTAAATTAAAAAAATATAACTAACTAAATTTTATATTATTCATATCTAAGAGTAAAATTATTAGAGATTTCTGTGAAGAAATAGGCAAATGATTTGTATATTTTCTCTGATTATTTTTAAAAAAAATTCAGCTTAAATTATGAAGTAACAGTAGGCTGAGATTTATGAAGTAACAATAGGCTGAGATTTTACCTTGCTACTCCTCTGTACTTTGATACACCTCTGGAGAATCCACTACTCTTTCTGCAATCATCAAAAATAAAAACAATAATAATATATTTAAAATGGGAACAAATTAGATTATTAATATTGTCAAAGTTTTATTTGAATTATTTTTAAAATCACAATTAATTAAGGGTCTTTGTTTGATGTAGTGTTTTATAAATTAAGTTGATTTTGAAACTATTATGGTGAAAATTAATAAGCTTTTTTAAAAGCTGTTTTAGATATTATAAACATATATTTTAAAAAAATCAGACGCATGTTTTCTTAATATTATCATATATTAGCAACTCTGATTATAAAACCAACTTTTCATCACAAAAAATTGTAGAAAGTAACAAGAAAAAAAAATCAAGAAGAACTATAATTACGATCTAAAAAGCAAAACGGTGAGAACGTTATTCCAAACGAACCCTAAATTTACATGAATAATTGATTAGATCTATAATTATACTAATTTTAATGCAAATAAAATAACAATAAGAGCATCCTCTTCAGCATATTCTAACATAATTTTTCTCTTTGAACCTTTTTTTTCTCATTCATTAGTGGTTGTTCATTACCTTCTCAAAGACCCAATATATTCTTCCTTGGACTGGCCTTGCATTTCTCTAATCTCTTCCTGATATGCTGATAACTGCCAATTGTAGTAACAGTAGCTTTATATGAATAAAACGTTCAATAAAAATACAATACGTACAGTACAAAACAAATAAATTATCTAAAATTATTACAGGAAAGTTCAGAATGGTTTCTTGGCCCCAGTATTTCAATGCAGCCAGGTCATAAGCACGAGCTGCAGCATCCTCATCATGGTAAGCTCCTGTGTTCAAAATAATACCAGAAGTTCTTTCATTAAATCCACAAACAGACCAAAAAAAAAATCTGCAAACTTTTCTGCAGTAGAACTCACCAAGATAAACTGCATGAAGTGTATTTGAATCAATTCCACCCCCACAACAAAGAAAAAAACAGATTACTAAAAAAAATTGACTAAAATATATAAGTTTTTCAGCCAAAAAGAGATGATCAGAGATATATATATTGCACCTTGCTTTCCTTTCTTGTTCTGAGATTCATTCCAGCTGTTCTTGTCCCAGAGATGAGCTTCATACCTTCCTGTCCAGCGGTGCCTGCAAAAGAAAGGAAAGAAGAAGATAGTTCAGTTCAGATGGGATTAAGCTTGCAGACGTAAGGACTGATCATGAAGAGTAGATTAATGGAAATAAACCTTGTGACTCCACGATATACTGAGCTTCTCTGCAAGGGAGACTCCCTCGGCACGCTCTTCCTTGTCCTCTTCATCTTCATATATCCGTTACTACTGTTGCTGTTGCTGTTAGTACTTTCACTGTTAGTCATGGAGCTATTCTGCTTCCTTTTTGCCATTGCTGTGAGAGAGAGAAAGCGAGCGAGAGAAAGAGAGAGAGGGTAATTATTGTGATTTGTTTTTGAAATTTTTTACTGAAATTTATAATTTGAAGGACTTAATGAGGACCGAGGGGAGAGACGGTGTCATTATTGGCGTGGCTTACCATTTTTACTCAATCAATGCAGCTTTTTTACTCAATCAATAGAGAAAAGGTCGATCGGCATCAAATAGAGATTGAAGATTTCAATTTGACTCAAGTTAAGTGCAGTTAAAAAAAAACAATAGATTTTTAAAATTTAGGAGCTAATGCGAGATTAATTTTATTAATTTTAATTGTATATTTAGTATTTTATATATAGAAAAATATAATAATTAAAATCATAAAGTCAAACTCTATTATCTGAATATATTTCATATGATTTTCATATATTAATTAAAAAAATTTATGATATCTACAATTATATTGGTCATTGCTAGATAAGTAATTGTCAAAAATTAACTTGATCTGCAGCCATCCATGAAATTTGAATTAAAAACTTATACACTTAACTGCATGGCAATGAGAATTCCAATTTCAGCTAATGATAGTTAAATTGAACGTCTTGATGAGACCAACCCATCCGCATTAGAAGTGATAATTTGAAATCTAAATGAGGCGAAGTCAAACAGTTGAAGTATTATTAGAAACTTTTGGGATATTAATTAGAAGATCAGATGATCTTTAATCTTACATCCTTGAGTCAAATCAAGTGTCAATCATATAATTCTGACATTATTAACATACCTAAGTGAAGAAACAATGGTCGATAGAGAATTAATATGACATGTCTGAACATTTTATATTTTGGTTATATTACAAGGCATACCACTATAAAAATTAAATATATAAATTAGCATCTACTCTCTATGTGAAGGGGGGATTAGATCATTGGCTTGAATTTCAAAAGAACTTAGAGCCTTGAAGAATCTTGGAGCTTCGCCATAGCATTATTGCTTGACCAACAATATCAGACCACCACCCAACCGCTACTATCGAGCCACCATTCGACCATTGTTATTGGAATACCACCTAACCCCTGTTGTTAGACCACCATTGACATACCACCATCATTGGACTATCACAATATGACAAACATCATTTGTATCAATAGTCATATCAACTCCCAATTACCATTCTTGAACCACCACTACTAGATCATGGTAGTTTGAACATTATTATCTAATGGCCATCATTAGACCACGGCACAATCATCGATATCATACCATTATTCGATTGTACCTATTAGACAAAATAGCATGATCTGTATAATTAAAATATTATATCCATATCACCATTGTCAAACCAATATTGTCCCAACACCATCGTTCGATTATGGTCATCAACTTTTGTTACCCGACTACTATCCTCCAAACATCATTGCTTGATTATGATCATCTGACCATAGTCGCCTGATCACATTAATCCTTTAGACACCATCATCGACTATAGTCCTTTGAGCATTGTTGCTAGACTACACCCTTACTACCACCATCATTCGGGTACAATCTTCTTTCCATTATTAGTCAACAATGTTCCTCCTCCAACTAAATTTACCTGATTGAGTTGCACTAACCACCTTCATTCAAATATAATTGTCTGACTATCATTACATGATTATCATCCTTTGACCTCCATTATATGACTGCAGTTCTTTGACTATTATTGCCTAAGTACAATTTACCATCCATTGTGGCCCAACTATACTCCACCAACCACCATCCCCCAATTTTGATCATCTAATCACTGTTGTTTGACTATGATTTCTGACCATGTCATCCAACTATTGTCACTTGATTATAATCTTCTGACCACCATTTCTCAGCTATGGTCCTTTGACTAGCTTCACTAGACTACGATCCTCCAACCACTTTGGTCCAACTATTGTTCTTCAACAACTATTTTTTCTATTATGGTCCTCCAACTATCATTATCTAATTGTGATCATATAATCATTGTCGCTAAACTACAATCCTCTAATCACAGTTGCTCAAATATCATCCTTTGACCACCATTGCTAGATTGTAATCATTCAACCATCATTACTTAACTACAATCATTCAACCAATGTCGCATGACTACAACACTCTAACCATCTTTTTTTTCTACTAAAGTCTCCTAATCATTGCTACATAAACTTGAAATTTTAATTATTTTTTGCCTGACTATGTCAAAGTTTGCTATCTTTTTTGCTTACTTTTTCCAATAACGTTGATACACACCATAACTTATAAGGCTTATATGCACTGTTGATACCAACTATAACTTTCAACATTAACACAAACTTGTGGTAGGCTTCTTAGTTTTTGGTCTTCTCTCTTCATAGAATAAAAGCTAGACAATCAATAAATTATCTCTTAAAGATAGCTCCCATATATAAGGGATTGTCAAACATTTCACCATAGAATCTGTTTTGTATGGTTCATGTCTCTTATATTATATAAATAGCTTCCCTAGTTATGCATGGAGATGAGCATCATGTATAATTGATGACAAATATTAGTGGAATCATTTTAATTAGGTAAATCCTTATAATTTTTCTTTTTATGAGTTTCTCACATAAAAACTCTAGTATCTATTACATCTCTTCTCTTCTCTTATCTATATATCTGTTGAGTACATGTATAATGCAAAAATGTTGAACTCTCTTAATATACCAACTTGAATATTTAGATGCACAACATTACTAATGCTATATAGATATCCTCTACAAAGTTGGCATTTATTACTAATAAACTTTTAAAAAAGTGATGATTGTATGATGTTGGGTTGCATCTCTAAATTATCTTCTTCAGTTATGCATATGCAAAGGATGCAATTGGAGATGTGGTTATTAGTGATCAGTGGTTGGTAGTTAACTTGACGGGTGTAATACCGATAAATTTCTCTGTTGTTTGATATAAATAAAGATTGAAGGGCGGCCAGATGGCGACTAATGAAAGTGCAAGGTCGTCACAACATTATTGGCAGTACTCATTATTGTTAACAAGTTTGACACTAGCCTTCTTGATTGATGGTCTCTCTCGTATAAGAGGAGCGACTAAATAGATCATCAATGATACTTAATGAAAACTCTAATGTCTTAAGACTCCTACTTTTATGATGCAGGTCATCTTCAACGTACAATTAATATTGATTGCATTGTATCAAAATTTTCACATCATGTAAGCCTTATACATTTCACAACTCGTGTCTTTAAGATTATATCAATACCTTCTTTATTTGTAGAGAAGAATATTCTTTGTAATCTCTAACACATACTAATGAAATTATTTTAATAGTTTTTTTTCCTCGTGTTTTCTACATAAATAAATTAAATGCCTCATATGATATACTCTCAACTTATCTACTCGTGTGTGTGCAGGACCTTCTCATATTACTAAGACAAAAAACTCTCTTTATCATCTCAAATATTCCAACATGCAATATTATACACTATAGGGAATTCATTGAATACCGATGGTCATTTGACCACTAGAATTACCGGGCGGTCACACAACCAGTCATGAGAGAGAGAGAGAGAGATGCTCTTATTGTTATAGCAATTTTATTCTAATTTTGAGCATATTAGAATGTGATCCATAATTAAATGATAAAGCTCCATATTTGAGGATTAATTATCATATAATTCATTATTAAAGGTTTAGTGAATGGAACAAAAAACAAGCCGATCGATCGACTATGTCCACACTTTGCTTTGAGAATACCAAGTCATAGATCATTTTGGAATTTAACTATGCACGTAGTTATCAGTAGTGCTATAACAAAGAGTATTTTTATGAAAAAAATTACTGTGTCGTCAGATAGAGAATATCAGAGTTAGAAGAGACTGCTACCAACTTGCTTCTTCTCTTGCAAACCACGTGTGAAAGTGATCATAATACTATTTGTTTTATTGATTTAGGGTTTTCATAAGCAGAAATATAATCACTTCTGCATCAACAAGTTGACTTTTCTTCTTTTCTTTTTTAATGGCTGTAAAGCTGAGAGCTGCAGAAATATATAAGAAGGTTCCCAAACTCTGAAATTCAGCAAATGATTTGATGTGTTTATTTAGTAAACATAATTATTTTATGGATAATATTTTTTTAGGGTTTGATAGTAATCTCTGATGAAGAAAGGGGAATAATATGAGCTATGTGCTATGACAGAAGCTTCTGCTTATTTTTTATTATAGCTATATTTATTTTGAATAAGCAGCTGCAGAAAATTCATTATTAATGTTTGTAGTTTGTTTAGGCTGTTTTAGGCACTGGGTTAATTAGGAAAAAAATGTTAGGCATGACATGTGAAAGTATCAAGATTGGTATATATATGGATTAAGAAAAAAATATTAATTAGAGTTGGCACGAATCTCAAAGTATATATATGCGAAATTCTTGTTATAGTAAAATGTAGTAGATGATGTTAGTTAAGTTGGGGTGTAATTAAGGCTTTGTTTGGTACGGCTTTCTTACTGCTTCTTAAAGCAATTTTTTTGTACAAAAATTCTAAGTCATGATCATGATTTATGAGATGACTGGAGCTTGGCATGACACATGGCTATTGAAGAGAGTTAACGCTGATGAGTTGACAGGGGAAGCTTGAGTGAGCTATAACTCGACCTATCAGCTCATTAGAAACTCTTTAAAAAATTACAAATATATCAGAACATATAACTATTAGTTTTTAATTAAGTACAAAGTATAATAAATAAAACTGATAAAATAAATGAGCCAACTTTTAGCTGACTTGACTCAAGCTCATTAATGAATTGAACTTAAGCTCAAACTAAAATTTGAACTTGATAAAATAGTGAAGCTCATATTTAAACGAGATCAACTTGACTCAGTTACACCGTTATAATTGCCTACATGATCAATTCTCATAGAACCACAAGAGGAAATACGATTGATACGTCTTTTTTTCTTCTAAAATTAATAATAATTAACAATTAATCTTAATTATCATCCTAACTTATTAAAATTAAGTACTTAATTA